TTGGACATGGATGTAGAAACTAATCCAGGTCCATCAGTAAATGAATTATCTCTATTTCATTTGAATGTTAGAAGTATAAGGAATAAATTAGAATATATTGAAAATATTACAAATGAATTCAATATTTTATGTATGACTGAAACACATTTGGATGAGTATGTACCTACTTCTGAACTAGTTCTACCGGGTTTTGTGGAACCATTTAGAAAAGACAGAAATTTCTCCGGTGGTGGTATCTTAGTATATTATTCTGTTTCCTTAAAATGTGTCCGGAGGAATGATCTCGAATTTCTGGATGGAGAAATAATTTGGATACAGGTAGAATTAGGTCACAATAGTGTATTAATATGTACCGTTTATAGACCAGAAAATTCACGTCACCCTTTTTGGGAGAATTTTAAGTATTCGATTGAAAAAGCTTTAGAAATTACTTCGAATGTTATTATTGTTGGTGATATAAATGTAGATATGCTAACGTTATCACGTAATCATATTTTACACCAAGTCATGTTGGAAATGGACTTAACTAACGTTATTAATGAGCCGACTAGGCGTGGAACAACCAGAAATAGTTTACTTGATCCTATTTTATTAACTGACCCTACCAAATGTACTGATTCGTATGTAATTCCGATTGATCGTAATATAAGTGATCATGATGCATGTATTGCATTTTTGTCTATACCTGTTAATCTCTCTTGTACCTACACTCGAGAAATTTGGGCCTATAAACATGCCGATTTTAATAGGTTAAATTTTTTAATAGAAACTTTTGAGTGGCCTACATTTTTTCAAAACTTTATTTCCGTTAATGTAGCATGTGTTGAATTTACTGAACAATTTTTGAAACTTGCTAAAGAATGTATACCCAAAAAAACAGTTTATATAAGACCTCGTGATAAATTATGGATGAATTCCCAATTAAGAAAAGCTTTTCAGTTACGAGACCGGTTACATAACGCCGTTAAACGTGTTAAGTCCATATCCAACTTAGAGAAATTTAAAAGACAAAGAAATAAGGTTAATAATATGAAAAAATATGCAAGAGAAATGTTTTATAATAGTGTTGGTGATATTATAGATAATCTTAATACCAGTAATCCTAAGTCATATTGGAGACTAGTGCGTAAATTATTAAAACAGTCGGGTTCTCAGGAGGTTATTCCACCTCTAGTTAATCCTTGCAATGCAAATATTGAATATGATGATGATAAGAAAGCAAATATTCTAAATAATTATTTTAGCTCTATCTCAAACATAGATGATATTGGCAAATCTTTACCCAGTTTTGATTCCAGAACTGATTCTGTACTTGATTCTATTGTGGTTGAAAGTGATGAAATATGTGATATTTTGAAAATTCTGAAATTAGGAAAAGCATCTGGTCATGATACTATAAGTCATCATATGCTAAAATTTACAGCGAATTCTATATGTAAGCCATTGTCAATTCTTTTTAATATGTCACTAAATTCTAAAATATTCCCTGAAATATGGAAACATGGTATTATTTTACCTCTGTTCAAAAAGGGTGATAGACACTTGGTGTCAAATTACCGACCAATTACTTTGTTGTCTTGTATAGGTAAGGTTTTTGAAAGGGTTGTATTTAAACACATCTATAATTTTTTCCTTGATCATTCTTTATTTTACGAAAAACAATCTGGTTTTATGATTCATCATTCCACTGTCCATCAGCTAATAGAAATTTACCATAATATATGTTGTTCATTAGAAGAAAAAAAACATACTTGTCTAATTTTTTGTGATATATCGAAGGCTTTTGACCGAGTTTGGCATAGGGGTCTTTTACATAAATTACATGCTTATGGTATTAGAGATGGTTTACTACATTGGTTTAAAAATTACATTTCAAACAGACAACAACAGGTTCTTGTTAAAGGTGTGTATTCTAATATAGGTTACACAAATGCTGGTGTACCACAAGGAAGTGTGTTAGGTCCTCTGTTATTTTTGGTTTATATTAATGATATTGTTGATAATTTAAATTGTATTTCACGCTTATTTGCTGATGATACCTCTTTGATGTATTCTTCGTCTTCTCATGCTGATATTGAAATGTGTGTAAACAGAGATTTGGAAAAACTTGACAAATGGTCACGGGACTGGCTTACTAAATTTAATCAACAGAAAACTGATGTGTTATTTATATCTAATTCGCGAAATATACTTCCTTTACAGATTTGTTTTGGTACTGAGACTCTGAATTGTGTTGAAAGTCATAAACATTTAGGCGTAATATTTAGTGCAGATGCAAAATGGTCTTTACATATTTCCGAAATTCAAAAAACATGCATGAAAAAGGTATCAGTACTACGAAAGTTTAAATTACTGTTGAGTAGGAAAACTTTGTTAAGAATATATAAAGTATTTGTGTTGCCTGTGTTGGAATATGCCTGTGAAGTTTGGGATGGTTGTTCTCTGGCAGATCTAACTAAACTTGAACAAGTTCAGCTTGAAGCAGCAAGAATTATTACTGGCCTACCCTCTTTTTCTAGTAAACAATCACTTTATCAAGAATCCCAACTTGAACCTCTATCTGAAAGAAGAAAACTTAAGAAACTTTCCCTAATGTACAAACTCCATAATAAACAAACACCTTCTTATTTAACTAACATTCTTCCTCCTAAAGTATGCGAACGCAATAGCTACAACTTGAGAAATACTGAAAACTACACTGTTCCCAATTTCCGTCTGTCTAGTTCATTCCAATCCTTTATTCCTTCTTCTATAAGACTATGGAACGATTTACCAAATACTGTCAGAGAGCAGCCATCCGTTAACATTTTTAAATCATCGATTAAGCGTAACCAAGGTTACTTGTTGCCTATTTTTTTTCATGTAGGAAATCGAAAACTAAATATTTTACATACACGATTGCGTCATTCATGTAGTAGTTTAAATTATGATTTGTATAGAGTTAATATTGTAGGTGATCCAATGTGTGCATGTGGAAATGAGTGTGAAAATGCAGTCCATTACTTTTTTGATTGTATGCTGTATATCAGACAAAGACAAATTTTGATTGATGATATCTCACGTTATTGTAATATTTCTCTAAATGTTATTATGTACGGTTCTCCAAATTTGTCAGATGAAGACAATGAAAATATCTTCCATATAGTCCAAACCTACATTAAAAATAGTAACAGATTTTAAGGTCAGTAGTATTATCCTATCATCTCTCTTTCTTATTCTTCTAAATTTCTTTTCTTCCCTTTTCCCTTCCTTTCTTCTTTGTTCATATATATTATAAATATATTTGTTGTTGTTGTCATGTAATCAATATAATGAAATGTATGGGAGAGGGCGTTTCTAAGTTGAGATAACTTGTGCCTAATCCTTTTTGTTGAATGACAAATAAAAAATGTTTAAATCACAACATATCAAACGACAAGGAGCGCATTAGGAAACAACATCACCAAAGAATGCATAGACAACGACGTGCAAGCGGCCAGTATTATTATTACAAACTACCCTCTTAGTATATCGGCGGAATAGAATCACTTACCTCATTCTTTTATTATACCGTTAGCTAATGTATTATTGTGAATTGTCTACGTATTAACTATCATTTGTAGTTCAAACACGGACGCAATACCACCTGCTACAGCACCGACACACTCACTTCCTACACGAAAAATAAGTTCATCACAGTTTAATACCACACTCGAAAACATTGTAAATATGCCTAGGATTTTATATTGTAAACAACGCATGTTGTAACTATTTATCGATTTAAGATATGTTTTATGCATAAGATTATTAAGGAAAATGAAAATACATGATTAAAAAAAAGCAGAAAAGAGGAGAAAAAAAGAGAGAAATAAACCCAAAGAAACAGCGTCGCCGAGAGAGAGAGAGAGAATACCTGAAATCAGAAGGTAAAAGTTAGAAACAAGGGGAGCTAATTCCGTCGGTAAATGCCATATTGATGACGTCACACGCAATACACATCCCTATTGAAAACAATTTACAAGTAATAGCGATTTTCATTTCTGTATGCGTTCTTTCTCGTTCTACAAGGGTTCGCAGGTCCGTCAAGCATCACAGAGAGAGAGACCGTCCATGGAAGCGATACCTGAAATCAGAAGGTAAAAAGTCAGAAACAAGGGGAGTTAATTCCGTCAAAATGACGTCACACTAAATATACACACTTATTGGAAAACAGGGAGAGTACGAAAACAGGGTCAATAATCCGGTGAGTAACTCAAAATTGATGACGTCACAATCAAAACACACATGATGGATGTGGGGCCGTAGGTTCATGGGAACGAGATGGCGATTCAAATATGGCAGCCGTCCTTAGCAACCCCAGCCCACATACACATGTATACATCAGGTAATGACTGCGACCCTCTGATACAAAATAAAAGGCTTACCTGAATGGACGCAGGAACAACATCTACTCGTACAGATTTCATGGAATGTTTCTAGGTTAAACTGGTGAAGTATTTAATTTACTTGTTACCATTTAAAATACGACGTATGGACGTGACTTTAAAGAATCGATGCATGATGATGCAGAAAAAAAAGATAAAAAATGTTTTGTACCGAATAACTTTTTTTTTTACAGTGTCCTCATCAGTGCAATATAAAAACTGTCTGCATTGTTCCACAACACAAGCAGCTAAGCTACACGTATAAGGGAAAAGCGGCTGTTTACAAAACCTCTCTGCTACAATAGATAATTAATAGGGTAAAACTTCCTTAAGCTATATCAGGCGGTATTTTTAGTTCTGATTTGTTAGTCAGTCCTAAGATAGATATCCCAGCAGACGTTTCCTGTTACTGTCCTAACAGAAACACTATCTCTGTCTGGTTATTCACAATTTTTCTTAAGCTTCCATAAAAATATGCTTCCATCAATCCTAATAGAAACGTGTGGATGATTTGCTGTATTTCGTTTCCTAATAATTGAATTACATATAACAATAACAATTGAAAGTACCCGTCCATGTTGCCATTTGTATTATTACCTTTCTGGATTAAAGCTTTCCGGTTTTTCCCAAACATCCGGATCATGATGCAAAAAATCTACTGGCACAATCACCATCATCCCAGTTGGAATCGTAAGGTTCTTTATCTTTGTAGTTTTGACGCATGTTCTAGTAAATCTATCATGACAAATATCAAATGATATGAATAAATTGGTTCTACACAAACTAAAGATGAAATTATTTTTTTAGTCTATGTATAGATATACAGTTTTCTTTATTTCTTATTTTTTCTTTCTTCTTTTATAAACAAATTAACAATCTTGCATAAATGTTAAACGGAAAGAAAAAATAATTCCACAAAAAAACGATGTTATACACATTACGTACATATAAGTTTGCATGTGTGTCTGTTTGTTTGTCGTTCCACAATGCTACTCTTATAACGAAACTGCAGGTAATTGTTTGTGTACGCACCTCACAAACGGAGGGTGCAAACGCAGGACTTCACTAAGACACATATCAAGGTATCGAAGTTTCGTGAGGTTTTCGTAGTCAATCCGTCCCTACAACGAACAAATTGAGTCTTAATGGAAATAACACACCTCAAAACTGAAACAGCCTGCTTTTATTCCACTCTACCTGACGAGACACACTATTGGGAATCAAATGCTTGATTTTCATTTCATCCTAATAGCGGTAAGGACTTAATGCTTAGTAAGTTGAATTCGTTAAATTTTCTCATTCAAGTATCGCTACAATAAAAACTTCCAAACAAGATCATCCAGAATATCCACACGGAATATGAATATTTTTATATAATGAGTCCTAAAAAAGTCATTTCTCAATTAAAACCCATGTTTTAAATAACATTTCATACAAACTCCCATACAAACCAAAAGGGTATAGTATTTGATACGTAGTACATTGATAACGTACACAGCTGTGTGCTTACATACGCTTTCCCCTATACGTACCGACCCGAAAACTGTTTTTATTTCCTGGCGCAGCTTCTCTTGACATTCTGGATTCGTAGCGAGGTGATATGCATTCATGGTGAGAGTTATATTGGTTGTGTCGTAGCCCGCAACAAAAAACAATATTGTGTTCGCCAGGATGTCGTTGAACGTTAGACCTGAGATGAAATTATCCGAAAACATTAGCATTTTCTCATACTTATTGCAATGTATATCTGTAGAATAAAACATATATTTGGAATACGCACGTGATCGAAGCGACATGACATGATTAATATGGGTGATATGTTGCATTTAAAAATGACACGGACAATTTAAATACCCGTATCTCTTTCACTATCACAAAGATAAAAACAGTTTCTTTTGAAAAAGTAAAAGAATTTGTTCTCCAAGATATCAATCCCTCTGCAATTTACATTATTATAAGTTAGTATTTCAATTAAATAAATAAGTCATAAACTGACGACGGGAACCTATTTTTATATTAATGAGGTTCGTCAAACTGGGGTTGGAGGTTTACAAATATTATTCCGAGCAGTCAAGCGAACAAGTTGATACGTTAGTCTACACTTTGTTTATTACAAAAAACGTCCAACATTATGTTGTTAATCTATAATAAAACGTTATCATATGGTGTTTAAAATGAAGCCAAACTTTTCTTATTTTGTAAGGGTAAACCTTTATTAAAATGCTTGTCTCCTCCGTCCAATTCTCTTCCATCTTCCTGAGCATCAACCATTAAACGAAGGAAATCTTTTTGATCTACCTGAAACAGCAAACACTAAATATACATACTATGCTGGTCAACAAAACAAATGTTTACATATAATGTAAAAGTACTCAAGACATCATTTTGCCATTTTTTTAGTGCTTTTTTTAGATATTTTCTTATTTACCTAGTTTCACCTTTGAAATTTAATTTTGGCAAACACCTAATCAACTTGTGATCGGTTCATGAATTTTGAAGCTTGTCATTGCTTAATTTTCATTTCATTTCAACAAATTTTATTCATGATGTTGTATGAATTGGATCGAACAACAGCATTTGTATAAATATTATAATTTATAATGAAATGAATCATACGGTAAAGGGGAGATAACTCTAACTGATTATGAAAGTTCACTTGTCAAGCTGTTCTACTTCTTAACCTCGCCAGAGTAATGAGTGAGTTTTAGACATAATCCTTTACTAGATCCTCCCTGGGAGTTCAAAATCCTTACAGAGTGACTCATAGATAATTGACTATTAGGCATATATACATTAAATATTATGAATATTAATATTCACATTATAATACGTTAAGAATATAATTATATAACTACTTGTTATTAATTACAAAATACAAGTCCATGTTGATTTAAGGGGTGAGTATGTCATATTCACACTGTGTTTATAGTAAGCGCTTAATGATATTTATAACCATAAGCATGTTTGCTGTTAATGTTTACAATATTAGATTATTAGTACATTATAATTTAAGTTGATATAGATAATTCTAGTTATATAAATCTTTTTGAGTTCACAATAAAGGTTGAGACACTCTCTAGGATGTTTGTATTGGTTTCATTGTCACATTGGTTACAACCATTTAGTAAAGTATGTAGAGTATAGTGCGAGTGATTATCATTGAATAGAGTAGCAGAGAGTAATTGTCTGTGATTGTTGTATCTAGCACAGTCAAAGAAGTAATGATAGCTTGTTTCCTGTATATAACCACACTCACATGAAGCAGATTCTAATAGATGGTCATTAGAGAGATCAAAGTTTAAGTTGCTAGCTTTATTTCTAATTTGACATTGTATAATATTGATTTTTCTCAAGACATCGTTTTGCCGTTTGTTTTGTTGATTTTGTTTACATAATTTCTTATTTACTTAGTTTCACATTTGAAATTAAATTTTGGCAAACAGCTTATCAACTTGTGATTGGTTCGTGGATGTTTGAAGCTTTGTCATTGCTTAATTTTTATAGGAGTAGCAGTCGTCTAGTGTCTGATAGTGGTAAGCTACCTCCTTTCTTCCTCTTCTTTCTTTCACCAGCTTTAATGTAAGTTTTCGAAAGTACGCTAGACTGTCTTTTGGTAAGACACAGACTCCAATTTTCATGAACAGACGTCTAAGAATTGGCAAGAGAACTGAAATGCCGAGAAGAATGTTAACAGACATGGTTAAATGAAATATTCCTATTACTGATATAAATATATGATTTTTTATATATCCTAAAGTGTATTATGTTTTCATTGTCCTATACATTTGTGAAAAGTCTGGGGGGAAAATCAGGAGCACGTAGACCTGTAAAGCATTAGAGCTTTCATTATCAAGCTTCAGACGTTTTAAACATAAGTACACATATATACCAATTATGACGCCTTTAAGAGAGGTATATAATTATCATTAAAATAGTCTATTCTATAGCGGGTTTAATGTCGTTATCAAATGGTCGCGCTTCCTTTTTCTTTCAGTGGCATTTTCCAAAAGTATTCAAAAACAAAATGAACATTGGAAATTTATTTTTACAAGTATCTAAATGTTCACTCAGTTATATTTTTTCTGTATTCCGTTGCATTGATGTGTTGTTTATATACACGGACCCTGGTGTTTACTGTGTTACTAATTTCTCCAATGTAATATTCTTTACATCCCGGACACATTATGACATTAATTAGATATTTGAGTAACAAGACATGCTGGAGTTTATAATCACTCTTTTTGTCCAATCTTGTAGGCTTTCCCTCCCGTGATATATTTTCATCTTCCACATTGCGTATCTCTGCACTTACAGCATGTATGTTCCAATTTCTCCTGATAGTGTGACTCGTATACAATTCTTAACAGGCTTTACAGATCTACTTGTTTCTGATAAAAAAATTTAAATAACTTTTTATATTTATATATATTGGCTTGTTCTGCTACTAATTACAAACATATAAATATGTAAATTGAAAAAACCTAAATGTCTAAATAAATTAAAGCACAAACTTCAAAATATTTGAAAAGTAGTCGACTTGAGTTGGTTTGTTCAACGCATCCCCTTGTCTGAGGATCCTCCTAAATACCTATGCTATGTATACATTAGAAAATACCTCGATGGTAACTTGCTGAACTAAACTGGCTATGAAAAGTCAGTGTTTACCATACTTACCATACATGTAATGAACATTTACATAGCTAGATTAGATGGCTGAATGAACAGACTTACTGACGAGTAGTATCGCAGGTGAAAAAAAGGAAACCCTCGCAAGTTTACTTCCGTAAAATATAAAGGGGTCGTTTTTATTACTCTGAGAATCCACGTGGATACCGAAAGCTGTGGAACTAATCACATCCATTGTGTATCCTCCAAATAACCTGTAAGATGTGAATAATTATATTTTGATGAGGGTGGTCCGCAATGTTACACTCATTTAATTATTCGACGCCAATCTAATTCTGATATAGTTACCGATGTAGAGATAATGAAAAGAAGACCAAAAATGATAATAAAAAAACCATCAAAAACATCGACTTTTATATCATACAGGGCAAAAAATGAAGCTCTTAAATACCGAATCAACTGCGTCATTTGAACACCGTGTTTTAAGGAAGCATGGTGTTCTATCAAGAAAGGGAAAGTTAAATACTTGAAAGGCAATATTTGGTTAGATAAACAGCCATGTCTTTTATGAAAGCGATATCACCTGTGTACTTCCACTTGACCACTATCCCCATGTTTAATGGCGTTCCGGGTCGTTTTTAACATGGTGTCACAAGCGTCCTGGATAAATGGAACGATCTAAATATGAATAGAAAATGTATTTTCAATAAGTACGTAAACCTGAAATCTGATACAGTAAAACGCGTGGCATATGGAGTATTAAATTCGCCATCAATATGATTACAGTTTTTCCAAATGACGTTTCTTTTATATTTTAATTTCAACGTAATTTTTTCAATATCTGTATATATAAGTCATTTCAAATGCCAATTCCTTAATAATACATCTAAGATGCATTAAATTGTATTGATATAAATAATGAGTTGCTTACGTTGACGGTGACATCATATCCATTTGACATTTGTGTGACCATGAACTTATATCATGTACCCCGCTAGAGATTAAAAACGTATGAAGTCAACTCGTGGGAGGTGGCAGTAACTAAGTAACCCTATTAGAAGGTGACAGTGTACAAGATTACCACAGAAGTCACCCAATAAAAGAGTAATAGTGCATAATGTATCCCCATTAAAGGGTGACAGGGTAAATACAGTTGTTTGACCCTTATTTCGTATTTACCTTGCGCATTTTACCAGCTGTAAATGTGGGAGACATTATACTCCTGGTTCGTTTCCATTGTTCCCCCTTCTGATGAAGGAGAGAATGTTCTATAGCTCCGACAAATCCATAAAGTGTCTGTAACAAATACATAGATGCTATTCAGCCTTTCAAATAAGCATTGATAAAATGAACACCTTGAAGATGTGTTAAAAATGTACAGAGTACCGACACTACAATGGATTTACTCGTCTATCCCGGACGATCTGCCCACACTGTCCGTGGCTCCACCTCCTCTGAATAAGTTAGTGTTTGCTTCCAAATTAAAATTTGCTCTGTGTTGTTTGTTAATATGTCTCTTTATATTTTTAACATTAGGTTTTTTTTATAAGTTTGTATTTCAAATGAAATTTATGTACTTTTGGAGTTAGTTTGTTGGTAATAAACTATGACAAAAATATAACCAACTCCATATAAGACCCAACTTCGACCGTAAACCACGTACATAAGCCTGCCGCTCTTCTGGTCTTGGTGCTAACAAGGGAAGTTCTGACTGATCTGTGAATAACCATGGAGTTGAATATTGGTTATATCGCCATCTGTTAAACCACTGTCTTTTACTGCCGCTTTCTTTGTGGGGAATGAATTTCTTCTGTTAAAACTACAAGCACGTGGATATAGCAATCCTCTAAATATTTCATACCTAAGGCGATAGGACAAACCGTTGATCATCAAAAGATCACTATCAATCATCATAATTATTTCAGTGAATGCACAAATGCAGAACACTTTGGATTATCACACCAAAAAAACATACATGTAGTAAATATATTCCATTATACTATGAAATACTGCTTTACTCCATTAATAAACTTATGTTACATGTATATACCTTTCTTTCAGAAAAGTTTGCAAACTGTTTCACGAGTATTTCCTGCAACATCTCTTTATCGGCGATCACAATGCACGGAGACAATAAGCCGTAATATCTGGAAAAAAAGAGATAAAATTATATCATTTACGCAAGTTTAGTGGGAGAAAAAGATTCAAAATATCATTTAAGACATTTTTAAAATCGTTTTCATAGTTTCAAAGATTTGCATATGTTTGACAGCTCTCCAAACCTCTTTGTATTTATCCTCGATCATTCTGGTTAAAAAGTAGTCTTCAATGCTCTCTTATCTAGATCATTATATTTTTTTTCAAAATCCTATTGATATACATGTATGTACATCTATATTGAATCATACCGACCTATTGAAGGTTAAACTGTTCGAATTCAAAGAAAGCATGAAGTCACAGAAGATAAACTTTAGACGGCCTAGTTGTTATGACCAAAATGTGATATATTTTAGAGGAGACTGTGTGGTTGTTGAGAGGAGACTGTGATGTTGTTAAAAAGTGACACGGGTATCATTAAGAGGAAACTGTTGTATCGTTAAAAGGAGACTGTTGTATCGTTAAGAGGAAAATGTTGTATCGTTAAGAGGAGACTGTTGTATAGTTAAGAGGAGGGTTGTATTGTTAAGAGAAGAGTGTTGTATCGTTTAGAGGAGAGTTTTGTATCGTTAAGAGGAGAATGCTGTATCGTTAAGAGGAGAGTGTTGTATCGATAAAAGGAAACTGTTGTATCGTTAAGAGGAGAGTGTTGTATCGATAAGAGGAAACTGTTGTATCGTTAAGAGGAGAGTGTTGTATAGTTAAGAGGAGAATGCTGTATCGTTAAGAGGAGAGTGTTGTATCGTTTAGAGGAGAGTGTTGTATCGTTAAGAGGAAACTGCTGTATCGTTAAGAGCAAAGTTTTGTATCGTTAAGAGTAGAATGTTGTATCGTTAAGAGGAGAATGTTGTATCGTTAAGAGGAGAATATTGTATCCTGGTATTGAAAAGAATGGACTATGGTATTCTAAAAAGAGACTGTGGTATTGTTAAAAGAAATCTGTGATATTATTAAGAGGACACTGGTATATTGTTAGGAGGGGGCAGTGGTATTGTTTAGAGGGAACTGTAATGATGTTAGGAGACTGTGGAATTGTTAAGAAAAGACTGCGATATTGTTAGGATGAGAATGTGATATTGTTAAGGGGAATCTGTGATATTGTAAAGGGGAATTTGTGATATTGTAAAGGGGAATCTGTGATATTGTAAAGGGGAATCTGTGGTATTGTCAAGAGGAGACTGTGATATTGTTAAGAGGACAGTGGTATTGTTAAGAGGAGACTGTAATATTGTTAGGAGGAGACTGTGGTATTGTTAGGAGACTGTAATATTGTTGTGTTGGAACATGTTGTATTGTTTGGCGGATACTGTGAAATTAATAAGAGGAGACTGTGATATTGTCAGGGGGAGAGAGACTGTGATATTTTCGAGACTGTGATATTGTAAAGAGGAGACTGTGATATTGTCAAAAGGAGACTGTGATATTGTCAAGAGGAGACTATGGTATTGTTAAGAGGAGACTGTGATATCATTAGGAAGAGACTGTGATAGTGCTAAGAGGAGACTGTTATATTGTCAAGAGGAGACTGTGACATTGTTAAGAGGAGACTGTGACATTGTTAAGAGGAGACTGTGACATTGTTAAGAGGAGACTGTGATATTGTTTAACGGAGACTGTGTTATCATTAAGAGGAGACTGTGATATTGTTAAGAGAATATTGTGATATTGTTAAGAGGAGACTGTTATATTGTTAAGAGGAGACTGTTACAATGTATATTGTTGAGAGGAGACTGTTATATTGTCAAGAAGAGACTGTGATATTGTTTAGCGGAGACGGTGTTATCATTAAGAGAAGACTGTGATATTGCTAAGAAGAGATTGTTATATTGTTAAGAGGAGACTGTTATATCGTTAAGAGGAGACTGTGATATTGTCAAGAGGAGACTGTAATATTGTTAAGAGGAGACTTTGATATTGTTAAGAGGAGACTGTGATATTGTTAAAAGGAGACTGTGATATTGTTAAGAGAAGACTGTGATATTGTTAAGAGGAGACTGTGATATTGTCAAGAGGAGACTGTGATATCATCAATAGGAGACTGTGATATTGCTAAGAGGAGACTGTGATATTGTTAAAAGGAGATTGCGATATTGTTAAAAGGAGACTGTGATATTTTCAAGAGAACACTGTTATAATGTCAAGAAGACACTGTGATATTGTTAAGAGGAGACTGTGATATTGTTAAAAGGAGACTGTGGTATTATAAAGAGGATACTGTGATATTGTCAAGAGGAGACTGAGCTATTGTCAAGAGAAGACTGTGATATTGTTAGGACGAGACTGTAATATTGTCAGGAAGACACTATGATATTGTTAAGAGGAGACTGTGATATCATTAGGACGAGACTGTGATATTGTTAAAAGAAGACTGGGATATTGTCAAGTGGAGATGGTGATATTGTTAAACGGAGACTGTGATATTGTCAAGAGGAGATTGTGATATTGTTAAGAGTAGACTGTGATATTGTCAAGAGGAGACTGTGATATTGTTAAAAGGAGATTGTGATATTGTCAAGAGGGGATTGTGATATTGTGAAAAAGGAGACTGTGATATTGTCAAGAGGAGATGGCGATATTGTTAAACGGAGACTGTGATATTGTCAAGAGGAGATTGTGATATTGTTAAAACGAGACTCTGATATTGGCAAGAGGAGATTGTGTTATTGTTAAGAGGAGATTGCGATATTGTTTAGAGCAGATGATGATATTGTTAAGAGGAGACTGTGATATTGTCAAGAGGAGACTGTGATATTGTCAATAGAAGACTGTGACATTGTCAAGAGGAGACTGTGATAGTGTAAAGAGGATACTATGATATTGTCAAGAGGAGATTGTTATATTGTCAAGATGAGACTGTGATATTGTTAAAAGGAGACTGTGATATTGTCAGTAGAAGACTGTTATATTGTCAAAAAGAGACTTTGATATTGTTAAGGGGAGACTGTGTTATAATAAAGATGAGACTGTGATATTGTCAAGAGGAGACTGTAATATTGTCAAGAGGAAACTGTGATATTGTTAAGAGAAGACTGTGACATTGTCAAGAGGAGACTGTGATAGTGTTAAGAGGAGACTGTGATATTGGTAAGAGCACACTGTGATATTGATATGAGGAGACTGTGATATTGGTAAGAGGAGATTGTGACATTGTCAAGAGGATACTGTGATAGTGTCCAGAGTAGACTGTTTTATTGTCAAGAGGAGATTGTGATATTGTTTAGATGATACTGTGATATTGTTAAAAGGAGACTGTGATATTGTCAATAGAAGACTGTGACATTGTCAAGAGGATACTGTGATATTGGTAAAAGGAGACTGTGATATTGTTAAAAGGAGACTGTTTTATTGTCAAGAGGAGATTGTGATATTGTTAAGATGATACTGTGATATTGTTAAAAGGAGACTGTGATATTGTCAATAGAAGACTGTGACATTGTCAAGAGGAGACTGTGATATTGTTAAGAGGAGACTGTGACATTGTTAAGGAGAGACTGTGTTATTATAAAGATCAGACTGTGATATTGTCAAGAGGAGACTGTGATATTGTCAAGAGGAGATTGTGATATTGTCAATTGAAGACTGTGACATTGTCAATAGAAGACTGTGACATTGTCAAGAGGAGACTGTGACATTGTCAAGAGGAGACTGTTATATTGTCATGAAGAGACTGTGATATTGTTAAGAGGAGGCTGTGATATTGTTAAGGGGAGACTATGTTATTATAAAGATCAGACTGTGATATTGTCAAGAGGAGACTGTGATATTGTCAAGGGGAGATTCTGATATTGTTAAAAGGAGACTGTGATATTGTCAAGAGGAGATTGTGTTATTGTTAAAAGGAGACTGTCATATTGTCAAGAGGAGATTGTGATATTGTTAAGAGGAGACTGTGACATTGTCAATAGAAGACTGTGACATTGTCAAGAGGAGACTGTGACATTGTCAAGAGGAGACTGTTATATTGTCATGAAGAGACTGTGATATTGTTAAGAGGAGACTGTGATATTGTTAAGGGGAGACTGTGTTATTATAAAGATCAGACTGTGATATTGTCAAGAGGAGACTGTGATATTGTCAAGAGGAGATTGTGATATTGTTAAAAGGAGACTGTGGTATTGTTAAGTGGAGACTGTGGTATTGTTTGGTGGAGACTGTGACATTGTCAAGAGGAGACTGTGATATCATTAAGAGGAGACTGTGATATCATTAAGAGGAGAATGTGACATTGTTAAGAAGAGACTGTGACATTGTTAAGAGGAGACTGATATTGTTAAGAGGAGACTTTGACATTGTCACGAGGAGACTGTGATATTGTTTAGTGGAGACTGTGATATTGTTAAAAGGAGATTGTGATATTGTCAAGAGGAGACTTTGACATTGTCAAGTGGAGAATGTGACATTGTCAAGAGGAGACTTTGACATTGTCAAGTGGAGAATGTGATATTGTCAAGAGGAGACTGTGATATTGTTAAAAGGAGATTGTGATATTGTCAAGAGGAGACTGTAGTATTGTTAAGAGGAGACTGTGGTATTGTCGAGAGGGATTGTGATATTGTCAAGAGGAGACTGTGATATTGTCAAGAGGAGACTGTGGTATTGTCGAGAGGAGATTGTGATATTGTTAAAAGGTGACTGTGATATTGTTAAAAAGAGACTGTGATATTGTCAAGAGGAGATTGTTATATTGTCAAGTGGTGACTGTGATATTGTTAAGAGGAGATTGTGTTATTGTTAAGAGGAGACTGTCCTATTGTCAAGAGGAGATTGTGATATTGTTAAGAGAAGACTGTGACATTGTCAAGAGGATACTGTGATATTGTCAAGAGGAGACTGTGATATTGTCAAGTGGAGACTGTGATATTGTCAAGAGGAGATTGTGTTATTGTTAAGAGGACACTGTGATATTGTCAATAGGATACTGTGATATTGTCAAGAGGAGACTGTGATATTGTCAAGTGGAGACTGTGATATTGTCAAGAGGAGATTGTGT